CCCCCCCCCCCACAATCAGATACTCTCAGGCTACATCAGCCTGGAAATAGTTTGCTTATTGGCTAGAAATCCCAGCAACAGTGAAGGACCCGGGGAGAGGGGGGGGTCTGGCCACAAGGGGTGTCTGTAACAGTGGCTTTATACCTTACCTGTTGTAAGACTTCAGGACTGAGCCATGGTAGGACCTTGATGCTGTACTTGGGAAAGTCGTGGACAACTCTGAGCCGCTGCCCATGGTTGATCATGCTTAGGTTACTACGCAGGCCGGAGAGGTACACCTTCCCCTCCACAGAGATCAGGATGTGGCTGGCTTTCACACTCCTTAAAGCAAAGGAAAACCTCCCTTCAGCTGATGGTCTACACGTGACCAGGGTCATATACCTTAGAAGGAAGCTAAATCCCTTAACAGCATCCATGTGAGATCACTCTATCGGGTTTCTGTAGAGGATTTAAGGAATGCATATTCTGAACCCTAAGCATACCTAGCATCCAGTGAAAATATTCACTCTGTCAGGTATCAATAGCCTAGAAGTATCACAGTTTGAAACCTACTTGGAAGTATGTGTGGCAGCTACGTTAGCGTTTATCAGGAAAAACATATCTGGTTAAAGATCCAGACTCTAGAGGCAATGCTTTCAGGGGAGAGATTAACAGGTGGTGCTTGGCCAGGTGAGATTTGCATAGACATAAATAAAGCCTCAGAACTTAAAATTAATGGTACCAAGTTGCATTTATCTAAAACAACCTAGGAGAGAGAACTAAGAGTGAGCGTGCCTGGGAAGAATGAAACCGTAATTTATTGGTCATTCTATTGGATGAAGGAACAGGCTATCACCTCCCTAACATGACACTGGGACTGTTCAGGGAACGATAATGGAAGGATGGGAATAAAGCAACCTGCTCATTCTCTTAAAGGCTGTGCCTGGATATTGTATGATGTCATTCCAACCACTATAGGATACAGGTGGTCCTGCTTCACTGAAACCTCAGTACAGAGGTGTAAACTGCATGCCAGGGGTAGAGAAGAATAATCACTCGAGGGAAGGCAAGTGGGTGGATGGCCATGTGCTCTCCCCTTTGGCCTATGCACTAGAGAGGGCAGCTTTAATTCCTACCTGGGGCTCCATGCTAGTTAGTATGTCCCCCAGCATGTCCTTGTCCCAGCTAGCCTCGTCCCAGTCCCTCCAATTCCCCTGGTAAAAAGGAAGAATGTCGCTGTTTTCTGCTGTCACAACTAGTGTTCCCTCATTTTTTATATCCATGTGCATAATGAATTTTATTATGTGCACCAACACAGATGATGTGCAACACAACACCTCCATATTGATGCACATAAAATTAATTCTGCACACAGATGATCTATGGTGGCGCTGGGACCAAGGGGTTCACACTGTGGGAGGGGGGAGGGATCAGGGTTGGGGGGGATGAGGGCTCTGGAGATGAGGTGTTTGGGATGCAGAAGGGGGACTCCAGGCTGGGGCCAAGGAGTTTGGAGCGTGGGAATAGGCTCAGGGCAGGAGGCAGCTCAGGTTTGGAGTGTGGGCTCAGGTGATGGGGTGTTTACCTGGAGCAGCTCCCATCTGGGGGGTGTGTATGGAGAAAGAGGTAGCTCTGTGCTACCCCCCGCATCTCTCACTGGGTGCAATTCCCAGCCAATGGGAGCTGCGGGGACAGAGCTTCCCGGGGCTCACAGAGACAGGGCTCCAGCTGGGGGTGGGGTGGGGAGAAGGAAGGGCAGCTCAGAGCTGCCTTCCCTTCCCCCACTGCTTTATGGGTTGCAGCCCAGGGCTCTGGTCTGAGAGCCGCAAGTTGCAGCCCCTAAAGTTCCTTTCTTAATCTGGCCTTGCTGCTGAGTCCATAGCCTCTCCCCAGGCCGCAGCAGCCCTGAGCCTTGTGCGGGGCTTATTAGGCAGCCACGCAGTTTGGAGGGAGCCTTGCTCACAACCTCCCTCCTCTCCTCCTTCCACCTCGGGGATCCTGTGGAAGGGTTCACTTCAACAAAAGTTTAATCTAGCCTTAAGATACTACTACACTTTGCCTCAGAAACTACTTCTGTGGCAGAGACAAGTCCGGGACTGAGGGCATGGACAACACAGCTCTCTACAGCACCAGCAGGGCAAGCTCCCCTGCGCTGGCAAATCATATTCTTATTCCGAATCCCTGGAGATACCTAGTCCCAACAGGCTTGATATTGTTTGTAAGCAGACTCAGTGATAAAGAGAGCATTTCCTTTTTACCTGTGTACATAGCCCATATGGTGAATGTAGTCAAGAGCCTTCAGCACGCCCTGGAGAATATAAGCAATCGCCAGTTCACTCATTCCATCCATGAAATGGGTACAGATCAAATCCTTCGCAGACCCTAATAAGGCGAAGAAATGGTTTTTAAACGGAGCAGGAATAACAGCAAGCTTCACTGAAATGATTTCCCAGAAGCTTGAGCAGCCTGGTCGGATAGCAAATGTATTTCCCTCTCCACCTACCATAAGCCATGAAGGATGTCACTACCCATAGCTCGTTGTCAGCTACGAAGGTCGCTTTATATGGCACAATGTTAGGATGATTGAAGAGTTTGGAAACATGAAGTTCACCCTAAAAGCAAAAGGATATTTCGAATCAGAGATGGGTGAAATAAGTGCAAAAATCCACATATGCTAGGAAGTGTTCTCTTGTACATTTCAAAGGAAGAGGTGCAGTGGGCAGCTCTTATACATTTCAAAGGGGGAGAGGCACAGCAGTCAGGACCCCGCATGAGCAGGGATTGCTTCCGTCTTCGTTCGTGCTGTTTCCCCTGCTGTACCTCTGCCTACCCTGGAGAGACGGTGCTGGGGGGAAAAACAGCTTTTAAGCTAGCTCCCGCTAGCACAAGCTCCTGCTCTCCCCAACTTGGTACCTCTGATACTGAGGCAGCAAGGGAGGGCGCTAGTCGAGCAGTGACTCAACTACCCGATAAGGATAGGTTTATGGGGTAGTCAACTAATCGTTTATATCCCTGGCACACATCTCTGGGGGTATGTAGAGGTCTTCTGGGGGTACATAAACTCCTCTAGATATTTGCCTAGTTTTAGCACAGGCTACATAAAAAGGTATTGTGAAGACAGTAGAAACATAAATGTTCATACAATGACTTGTTTATACTGCTCCATACACTACCCTTTCAGATGCAAATACAATACTAATATTCCAATTGACTTATTTTATAATTATATGGGAAAATAAGCAATTTTCCAATACTAGCATGCTGTGATGCTTCTATGTGTTGGTCTGATTTTGGGAGCAAGCAGTTTTTCAGGTGAAACTTGAGAGTACACAAGACAAATCAGACTCATCAAAGGCACACAGTAGTCTAGAAGAATTCAGAGGCACTGCTTTAGATTAATGCTCTGACTTTATAGCACCTTCCATCTTAGATCTCAAAGTACTCTGCAAACATGAATCACCTCACAACATGCTTGTGAGGTGGACAAAGACCCCTATTTCAGAGAACTGAGGCCCAAAGAAGTTAAAGGACTTGCTCATGACCAGCCAGCGACACAGCTGGGTCTAGAGAACCTAGAACACTCTCCCTAACACTCCAGTATCAGCTAACTATCTTTTACAAAATGACAACTCAGATCCTTACATCAGTAGATTTTTTAATTTGACCGTTTCTTCTTTAGGAAAATTGGTCTCTGTGGGCCAGTATTGCAACTACTGTTTTAAAGTTGCACAGCATTCTAGATGCTTTGCAATGGGTACCTTAGGAAACATTAAACAGAAGTCCTAGGAGTCACATTCTTTCAGTATAATTGAATGTGCCCCATTCTAAAAACTATAGCATCACCTGTAAGAATGTCACCATCTCATTGGTGCAGGCTTCCAGGTTAATCCTTCTGACTGTGACATAGTCTCCTGAAGGTTTATACCTGGCCAGGTTCACAATCATCAGCTCCTCAAAGCCTTGGCCTGAAAAGAGAAAGATTTACCCTGTAAGCATGAATATAATTGACTGTTTTGGGAAGTGGGTTGTGGGAGAGCCAGCACAACTGACCAGCAATGCTGGGCCCCTGAGCAAGGTGGGAGGCCCAGGTCCACAATCCCAGAAGGGGTGGGGTCAGGGCAGCAAGTTTATCATGCCAGCCCCTCCCCCGCCCCCCCCCAGCCCTCAGTGCCATCCAGCCCTTAGGGCTCCTTAGAGTGTGTCACATGGTGTTCCAACAGTGATTTAAAGGGCCTGGAGCTCTGGACGCTTTAGAATTGCCAGGCCCTGGGACAGTCACCCCCTTTGCTCCCCACTGCCAGCAGGCCTGCGGAAAGCTTCCACTAAGCCTTCTCCTTCGCAATGATCTTCATCCCTACTCACTTTTAACTGTTGTCTATGGTCTTGTCCAGGGTGGGCAATCCTTTTTAATGTGGGGGATACTCCAAGATTTGGTAAGTGGTCAAGGGCTGCACTTTTCTATGGGGCAGAGGGGTGCAGGGCCTGAGTGCAGAAGGGAGCTTAGGGTAGGGAATTGGGGTGCAGGAGAGAGGGCGGGATCTGAGTGAAAGTTTGGGTGAAGGAAGGGGTTGTGATCTGGGGCAGTGGATTGGGATGCAGGGTCTGGGAGGGAGTATGGGTGCAGGAGAGGGTGGTGAGCAGGAGAAAGGGCTGGGGTGCCAGAAGCAGGCTGTGGCCAGGAGGCACTTACTTAGGCACCTCCCAGCCAGCAGCCCTGCAGGAGCCAGAGGCAAGCTCCCTACTTGTTGCAAGCCCCCACTGCTCAAAATGGCTGGCTATTCCACATTGCTCTCTGTTCCGGGTGCTGGAGTGGAAGGAGGCTTTGCGTGCTGCCCCCATCCCCAACACACCAGTTAACAGGAGCTGAGGGACTGGGCTGGAGGTGAGGGCAGCGCACAAAGCTTCCCTCTCCCCCTGGAGCAGAGCGCCACAGGGAACAGCCAGCTTAAAGTGGCATGGGGCTGCTCTGTGTCTGAGGATCCTGGCAGGGCCAGATTTGGATGCTTGGCAGGACTGCCCCTAGTCCTAATACAAATATGCCTGTTCTACATCATCTTCCAAATGAAAGCACCCTGCATACAAGAACAACTACTTTAAAAACCTGCTGGAAAGTAGGTCTGTAATATTCCTATTTTACAGATTGGGAAATAGAGGCACAGAGGTGAGGTGACCTGCCAAAAGCCATACAGGGAGCCAATGGCAAAGCCAGAAATTAGATTAAAAGACCCTAGCTTGCCTCCCTTTTCCGTTAACCTCATAACCACTCCTCCTCTTATCCAGTATGTGTCTTTTACTTTGATTGCAAGAGCTTCTCCACAGAAAGCCTCTCTTAATTTACATTTTTATAGAGTGGTTTTAATACTACTCCCAAGGAAGAAGGGATATTTTGCATTTTACTTTTCACATTTCCAAAACACAACATAAAACCCCCTCCCCCCCCAAAAAAAATGGTATCTTACAAAGGAAAAAGTTAATGAAGAATGAGAATGAGGTGTTTTTCTTGGAATATTACCTATTATGGTGAGCAACTCATAACAGCTACTGTCTGGTAAAAAACTGCTCATGGTGTCCCTCTTAGGGGAAGATGCTATCGACTCGGAACTTGCATCATTGGTCTAGAAAAGCAAGATAAAAATCGGAAACATATTTATTACACCTACTAGAGAGAGCAGCTGTTCCACATTATATTTTTGCACATGGTCATATTATCAGGACATAGTTAAGTTCTGTGTCTGCTGTAAATAACTTTCATACAATTTGAAACCCAGGAAATGTCTTGTTTCAGAAAACCCAGACATCTGCTTCCTACAACATAGAACCAAACAAGCTAAGTTGCCATCTTCTATAAATCTTCTTTAAAAGGCCTTCTGATTTAACAAAGACAATTACTTCACCACGTAACAGCGTTACTCCACTGCTTTGCAATAGCCAGCTCTCTCCTACCCTTTACAAACTTCTGTATCATCGGTTTGCCTGTGTATGGTGGTGGAGGGGTTGCACTCTGGCAATAAGCATTTCCTGTCTGAGTGTGCTACTTTTCAGTCACTTACTCATTCATGCTCTCAGTAGCAAGAGCCACCAGAACCGAACTTGTTTGCTGCAGGAAGGAGTGATGAACCAACTAAGAAAAGCCCAAGATGCACAGATCAGACACACATTCTCCAAATGTGAGCAAGAATTTAGCTGCAGCAAACAGCTAGTCCAAACGAACACTGGGGCAGCACTCCCACGTCTGCCAGCTTGCTTGAAAGAGGCAACATCTTTTTGCTACGGCCAAGAGAGCTCCCTGCTGCATCCACATGCACAAGCTGAAAAGACAAATGTTCTTCTCTGTTCATGCTCACTCATGCTAAAAACTGATTAAAAACAAGCTGTGCAAATCAAGGCACAGGCATTACAGTCCAAGTTGCATTACAGGAGCCTGTCACAAAAACTGACAGGTGATTTTCTAGATGCAAAAAGAGGCTGTAGTCTCTGGTAGCATTAGAAGCACAGCTGCATTCCAGATCTCCTCGGGGGAGAAGCGGGGGTTTCAGGGGAGGGAGAAAAGTCTATAGACAGCGTTCAGGCATGTTCCATTATTGCAATGTATTCTGTTCTTCAGTTATGCTTATAGATGTAGATGAGCGACACTGGGAGGCTCCACATTTTTCTCTCTGCAGACAGACATCTTTTCATTTTATGTCATGTTTGAATTAGGTGAATTTTTCTTCAACTGCCAGAAACACTAACTCCACCTGGGATATGAAAACCCAGCTGTGTCCTTCCTGCCTCATCTTGCCAGCCATAAATATTCTACAAATCAGACTTTCCTGACTATTTTGCAATTGATGCATGAAGCAGGAAAAAACTCACAACTCTCTCTCCTGTAGCTGCAATGGAAGTGAAAACACACACTTGTTCCTGTCACTGAAAGAAGGAGGTTATAATGCAATGACAAAGAGCCGTAAAGTAACAAGGGCCATTTTAATCAGACCTACACTAAAGATGTGAAAGGTTAACCGGTTAGGGCTGCTTCAGCCCCATGGGACCTGCCACAGACAGGGAACTGCTTTGACTATCCTGAGCAGCCCCTGTGTCCATGGCAGAGGGGGTCGCTGGCAGGGACTGCTCTGTCTGGTCTGGAGCAGTCACTGTCTGCAGCAGGGTGGTGAGGGAGGCCACTCTAGCCCAACTGTGCTGGAACCTGCTCCCTCATTAATCCCAGTTAACCAATTAAATGGGATTTTACATCCCTAACCCACACTATGGCCTGATCTACACTACAAAGTTCTGCTGGCATAACTATTTTAGCTAGAAGTGTGAAAAACTTACACCATCTAGTCAAAATAGCCCTACTGGCAAACCCTGTAGTGCTGAAGCAATTATATTTACAGAAGAGTACTTCTTGTCAGCATAGCTAATGTCCTTTGGGGAAATGGGGGAGCTATGCCAGCAGAGCTCCTTTGGCTGGTATATGCTGCACTTCCACTCATAGGCTTTTGCCACCATAGCTATTCTTGAAAAAAAAAAAAAGCTCCATAGCATAGACATGCCCCAAAATAAATTCTGAACACTTTATTAAGTATTTAAAACAAAACACCCCCATCTCCTAGTGATTGTTTTTAAATATTCTTGATGCAAAAATGAAATACTTGATTCTTTAAGCAACAGCTGATTAGGATCCTTTTACTCAGTAGTGTCCTTAAGACCAATGGCTGATTCAAAACCCTAACAGCTGACACCACTTATGTATTAGAAAATGGACAAAATATTTTGGCTGAATCTGGCAAATTATTTTAATGTTTATGAAACTGGACGCATGAACTTCCCAACTCCATCAATATGCCTGAGTTCTAATCTGCAGCATGCTCTGTTATTCCAGTCCTGACCTCACTTCCCTCAGCTCTACCGGGCTCCCTCATTACTGAGTGCAGCACTCTCTAATACTGTAGTCCTAGGTTCTGTTAATGCACCCTCTTCCTGAGCTGTAGCTCCACCACCTATTCCAGTTCTGCAGACTCCTTCTCACAATTCTATTAAACCTACAGTCCCTGTGTTCCAATTGTGGGGCTCTCCTAAGCAGAGAGCTAGAACCAGCAGCAAACTGACAGAAACTTCAGCAACATTGGTAAGTGTCCTCTAGGAATTAGGTTTAGACCAAATTTACTGAACTTGTGGCTTATCTTGATTTGTGGCTTTACTCTCGGGTCTGAAGAAGCCTTAAGAAAATCCTATTTGGCATAAAATGTGCATGGGACAAACTAGAAAATAACTGACAACTTCTGAGACAGTTGTGTTGGCTAGCAAGGCAGAATCTCTAGAAAGTTGCTGGCAACACCACAGCTTTTGGCAAACTTCAACTTTTTTTGATGATTATGTTAATTACATGAACATATGACCCCATTTTTTTTCTACCACAATTAAAGGATTGGGAATCAAGGAAACCAGCAGTTTGATCTTAAGCAGGCAGAGTAAGTTTAGCAAAGGGTAAAAGTTTGCAAGAAGTCTCCACGGGCATTGAAGAGAAATGAAGAACACCCGCACTATGTACTCCTTATCTGTGTTTCGGCCACATGGTCATTCAGTACATGGATATGTAAATACACTCTTAACTGAGAAATGCCAAGGGCTCCAATTCTAATTTTAGGAATATGGGTGACTAGGCTGTATCTTGTAAAACCTGCTTCAGTGCACTTACAAGATGTAGGCAGATTGTATAAATTATATACTCTACATGAGTGCAGACACTCGTCACTATGTTTATAGGAGAGAATACTTCCAGACATGGATAAACAATCAAAAGAGGAAGCTACAAAATGGGCAATTTCACACCTTCCATTCTATAATGAAAATCAAATTAGGACTAAAACTTTTCTAAGATTAAAGCTGTATTTCAATCAAATGAGAATTGAACAGATTAGATACTTCAAATTAGAGTAAAGAGATCCGTGCTGGAAGTTTACTTGATATCAGGAATTGGATTTAAAAAAAGTTGGTAGTATGGTATTCAAGCTCTGCTCAGTATTCCAGATAGGCTAGTTGTTTCTGCTAAAATGATTGACAGAGAAACAGCTGACAATATCATCAACAGTAAAATTGAACATCAGGGCCAATGCTCTACTAGAGGCAAAGGAGGGTATAAACCTCAGAGAACTACTGTTTCAGTCAGCCAACATACTCAAGACTAGGATGTAAAAGAGTAGTCAATTAGTCAGCTACCCGATAAGTCTAGGCTTATCAGGTAGTGGAGTCGACTACTTCCCTCCCACCCCAACCTTGCTGGGTGCCCGGCTCCTACTACATTTATACTCCAGAGCCGCAGTGGGGCCCCTTATCGACTAATCATGTACTCAATACAAATGGTATCGGGTACACAAATAGTCAATAACCCACTTCTTAACATCCTTACTCAAGAAAATAATGTCTCAAAGGGCTGAAAGCTTAGTTTAAATTTTAAAAAAGCTTGAATACTGAAGAAATTAATGGGGCCACCAGAAAAATGCACAGTACTAGCTCAATCCAACGCCTACTTGGAATCGAAAACCCCACATCAATCAACAGATCAAGAGGGACTGTTACAAATAGAAATTGAAGAATCTGAGTTGTTCCAGTTAGCTGCACATTTTAAAATGTAAACCAACTAGCTTTATCAAGATACAAATTATTATGAGGGGCACTGAACCCTTAGATCATTTTAACTTTTAAAAATTAAATCTCTTATCCTTGCTGTTGAGGGCAATCAGTGCTGAATTAATGACTCAAAGTGTTAGAGAATATTTTCCAAGTCAGGAACTGTAGAATCACAAAAACTATAGATGGTAAAGATTCATCAGGTCATTGAGCCACTTTTGTTGGCCACTGAAAGATGGTTTTCTGCCATAAATCAGCCTCAGTTCAGATAAAGCATCTAGTTTTCTAGAAGCTTTCTACTTTTCTCCTGAATGTAGATATATCTAGTGATTAGATCTTGGGAGGGAGCGAGGAGTTCCTCGGTTCTAATCCAAGCTCTGTAACTGACTCAGAGGGAGCTTGGGCAAGTAAAATGGGGATAATGCCTGCCCCAAATGAGAGGAAGAGCAAGGTTTAATATTTATAATCACCTCAGTGAAAGGCATTACATTATTTCAGCTCATGGAGCTGAAGCACAAGGAGGTAAAAACTAATCTCTGATTCAACATAACTGGAATCTAGAATCCCAACAGTTCCAAATCTTTTGCTCTAGCCACTATGTGTCACAACACAATCAACAGGCTATGAATTGAAGGCTACAACCCATACTTATTTCTAGATTTAATTTAAATATTCCTGCCAATTGTGACTTTCACAGTTAATGCCCAGTTCATCACATTTTCCATCATCTCCACTCACCCCTGTCAATGGCAAGACTGACACACAAGCAGATGGAAGCCTTTGAAGCCGAAAGGCACCACCAAGGAAATTAAAATTCTTCTGTAGCAATGACAGCTGCTCTGAAACTGCATTATGTAGGCAGTTTGCTTTACAAACACTTCAATGCACTTCAAATTTAGCAGAAGCCAACAAAACAGATGCAAAAAATGAAATAAATCTAAGGTTTTATTTTTTTAACTATAGTGCAGGCTGTTTCAACCAAAACAGAATATCTGTTCCCCTTTAGAAATAATCCAGTACATTAGAGACCTTCATTCACTTCTCTGCAGATAAACATTAAGTTTGAAAACTCTACAATTAACCACATTATACAGAAGGCGCTCTATTGAAAAGTTAAACACTGTATGAGATTGAAAAAAATAAAAGAACCAAGTTAAACTGAAATGTTTTTATGAAATACTGCAAAAAAGCTCCCCAAGAGTTTCACACAGGATAACTTTTGGTGTGCAGTTAAAAATCAGGAAAGCTGTAATATGAAGAAACGTGATTAGCTCTATGAAGTATGACATTCATTAAGGGATGGCATTTCAAGCTTTTTGGTTAGGTTTTACATTGGATGTATGTTTAAGGAAATTAGTTTTTGAAAGTTACTTGTTCTGTCAATGCCACTAGGAAACCAGAACTATGCAATGTCAACAATGATTTCTACTTGCCAAATCAAACTCCTGTGGCTAAGATTTCTGATTCAATGCTTGAAGGAAAAGAAGTTTTTTTTTTTTTTTTTTTTTTTTTTTAAACACTTTCCAGGTTTCTCTTGCTCACTTTTGACTCCAGCTACAAAAATTCCCTTTCTCCAACTATGACCCTATCTCTACAACTACATAAGGGAATAAGATTTTTTTTTCCCATTTAAAATAAAGAGTATGAATATCACAAAGATCTTTAAAAGCCTAGCATAGTCTCCCATTTAGGCTATATATATCTACACTGCATACCACTAGCACTTTAATCAGGACGAGGAAAATGACAGGGATTACAGGTAAAGTTTCAAACTGTCCTGTTTTGGACAACACTATGCATTTCAGATGGGCATTTCATAGCTCTAGGGAATTAATCCTCAAGTGGAAAAGATTTCTCTAGGCAGTTAACAGCACCTCTTGATTGCACAAAATTGTTTGTTTCCCAAGAGGCCACAGTAACACCTATTCCAATAGGTAAAGTCCCATTTGAAATTGAGTATTAGATAATCTTCAGTTTGATGTTGGAATCCCTTTTAGGAACATGGCATAGGGAAGAGAAAGGAAAAAACGTCAAACTATACAAAAAAAAGTGAGCACTGGTTTTGAATGCCAAACCTGAAACAATGTCTACACTTGCACCCTCTTTCGACAGAGGGATGCAAATGAAGACATTTGAAATTGCAAATGAAGCCAGGATTTAAATATCCCGCGCTTCATTTGCATGTTTGCATTATGGCACTATTTCAAAACAGACGCTGTTAACCTCACACAATGAGGTTTACCAGTTATTTTGAGAGAAGGGTTTTCTTCCGAAATAACTGCGTTTTTAACAGCATCTGTTATTTCAAAATAGCGTCATAACGTGAATATGCAAATAAAGCACGGGATATTTAAATCCCGGCTTCACTTGCAATTTCGAATGTCTTCATTTGCATCCCTCTCTCAAAAGAGGGTGCAAGTGTAGACATACCGATAGTCAGGGCTCACCAGCTGTGCTGTCCGGCGAGCTGCGCGCGCACAGATTGTGCGCACAGAACCCAGCTCTTCCGGGTTGCAATCTACTTGCCAGGGGCGAGTAGATTGCATTATTTGTCGAGCCCTGTCGATAGTCACTTTAGGAAGTGTATGCCTAAGGAATTAAATCTGATTTACAGCTAAGACATCACATGCAACAGCTTCAAAACCACACACCAAAATCTCTTTTCCAGGGTGAAACCTGTTTTCACACATGTAAAGATAAATATATAGATGGAGTACAAATAAGGTAGAAAGAAAATCAAACTTCCATGAGGAATAATCTCCATGCAATGGACCACAGCACTACAGCCTGCAAAAATCACTTACTTTTCTCCGAGAGTCACCCGGAGGCTGCTCTGGAGTAAAGAAATTAATTGTTCACCATGTTTTCTTCAACAAACAGATACCCAATTCAAAACACAGTTTGGAGAGACTTATAAAAAATAAATTAAAATAGCTTCAAAGCATAGTTTAGATACTGGACAATTATAAGGATATATTTCCAGACAAAATATCAAGTTTTATCAAGTTTAATTGATAAAATTTACTGCTGTGATGTTAATTGTAAGCAACAAACTTTAAAAAACATCAGGAATGTTATAGGTTAAACCTAATTCTAAAAGTAAGAAGTTACACAGATTCAAACAGCCTTACGTACATTTACCAAGCCAAACAGACTTTGGAGATTTGTTTTAATTTTAGATTGTAAACGTAAACCCCTTTTTTAAAAAAAATAAATTCATTTCATGAATTTAAATATTTGGGATAAACTATTTTGGAAGTTTAAGAGGGAACGCAACCAACGTAGAAAGTGGAATTATGTAAAATTTAACTGCCAAGTTTCCAAAAGTAAAAATTCACATTTCAACAAGGACACGTATAACATAGGGTTTCTATGTAACTAGAGGCTTAGATAAAATGGTCCACGTTCAGCCCTGCTGTAAGCAAGTACAATTCACACTGAAATCAAATAAAACTGCACTGTTTATATTGCGGTTGAATTTCATTTCAGAGCAGAGCTTCTAGTCAGATTTGTACATTAAAACATTACAGTTATTTTCAAAAACTATTAGCATCTGATTATAAGCAGGAATTTAAAAACAAAAACCAGTGCCAGCCAAAACCATGCTTATCTCCTTAACATAGTAAAAGTTTGTAACCATGGTGAGAAAGGATAGTATAAAAAAGATTTGATAGAAATCACAATTGAAACGGGGTTCAACGTGACTACAAAGCTCAGTGTAGAAGGGCAAATCTGCAGAATTTACAAGTGTTAATAGAAGATTTTGCTAACTACTAGCTCTACCTGGAAACTAAGCCCAGAGCTAGGTTCTCTTGCCTCATCTGTCACAAAGATTCTGCAATCAGAATTTAGCTGACAATTTTGCTAGTGATGAAAGTAGCAGATTAAAATCCAGTTTATGTGGTTGTCTCTACCCCGGAAAGAGAAAGTGTTACTGTTTTAAAACTAGTTTTTGCCAGTGAAATCAGTAGGCCTGATTCAAAGACACTCAAGGAGAAAGATCTATTGTGTGAAGTGGCACCATATTTACATAGTTACTTTATTGGCCACAGTTACACTTAAAGGCTTCTCTTCTATCAGCTTTAATATTTGAACTAGACTCAGCAACAAACACTTGGAGAATTTTGAGTTGATAATTTCTGTAATTATCCTTTTCAAGTTCAAAAGCTGTATTTAAAAAGAGGAAAAAGCTAGTTATTCAGGAAAGACAAGACTGTACTATTTTACTGACAACATTCTGAGGTTGGTACTACTACTGACTTTAAAATGAAAGGCTATAAAAAAATTGGCAAATAACTTCTAAATTTGCTTTTGTTAGCCAACTTGATGACAGTGCTATAAATTGATTTGTTCTTCCTATAGCACATTTATACATACCAAACTGATGGGTGCTTTCAAGTTTAAAGCAGAAGATTTCTATTTGAAGTGTCAAAGAATAGAGTACTTACCTCCAAACAGTTCCAAATCTCTTAAGCCTTCTACAATGAACTTTTCGGACACCCACCGCTAAAGGAGAAAGCCCAAAGCCAATTAGTTATATCCTCTAGATGTATTTCACAGCTCATTCATTTTTATTTTATGTTAAGCAAAACAGAATTTACATAGATTACTTGGACCATTCTAACATACATCTCCTTTGCAATTTAGGGAAAATGAGAAAAAAATGCATTCAGCAGCTGCAAATATTAATATTTTTAAATAGTAACAGACATACTGATAAACTGTTATTTTCTTCCAGAACACCAAAGAATAAGTCAAAGAATGTTTAAAACTCAGAGTAGCCATACATCCTGCTCGTGACATGATCTCTATCTCTTTAGTTCAATTTTCTGATTTATATTAAAGTAGATTAGATGTTAGAAATAAACTAAAATCCTGAGGGCATTGACTATGTCATCATAAGCGTGCATAGTATTGAATACACTGTTAGCACCCAGTAAATACTAGCCATTTTACTACTCATTTATGGCAAAAATCTTGGTCAGCTTGCTGATGCAACCAACAAATTTACTTACCCTTACGTTACTTCAAGTAGAGGTAGATTAACTCATAAATCAAAATAATTTTATTTTTATTACAAATCTCGTTCTCCAGTAACAAGCTAGAGAATGGGCCAGTCCCAATCCTGCAACAAAAACTGTGTGAACAGGGCCCCCTGTGGAGCTCCAAGAAAGTCAATGAGGTGAGCTCCATCCTACAATAGCTATTGCAGAAACAGGGCTTCTCTGAATGTACGAAAAGGAAAGTTTTACAATAACAGTGCTTTTAAAGCTAGACACTGTTTAAACACTCACCCTAATTCATTCTGGGTTACTTACAAGAAAAGACATGGAATCCAGATTTGTAATGCTACTCCAAGTTCGTGAAATCAAAAAATATCCTGAAAATGAGAGCAAGACAATTGTTTTAAGCATGCAAAGCCAATGAGCTGCCCCCAATCAGCCTTTCTAGCAAATGTGTTACTGCTGTTTAACTGGTTGCATTCTACATAGCAGGTGCACATATGAATACTAGCTTCAGGGGGTAGCCGAGTTAGTACCATGAATACTAGGTAGCCCCACTGACTGTTGAAAGATTAGAGCACAAGAGTTTTTCAAGATGAATTTTCCCAAACAGGTTCAGAAATATCTGCACAAACCATTTAAAAAAACTTTAGAAAAAGATATTCCACAGAGGTGGATATGCAATGCAATATCTGGTAGACAACAAGTACCACAGGGCAAGAACCTTTATCCTACCTCTGTACTACAGCTGTGTAAATAACAGATTAGTTTTCTAGCAATTCAGAAAAAGCTTTTAATTTAAAAAAATAAAATTAAAGGAAATTTCTAAATAAAAAGTTTTTCAAATAAAAAGCCTCAAACATTTCATTTCAAAACTGTCAAAACCAAAATATTTTGATTGTTATTGAAGGGTTTCTCTCCCACCATCAAAAAAATTAAATCCACATTGACCTGCAAAACGTTTCTGTATAACCTGAAATTTGTATCACTTTTGTTCAAAAATTTCACTCTGCTCTGGCTGTACAGCACCTCGCATAATGTAACCCGAATGCTTTTTATCAAAGTCGTTTAATGTGTCTAAGTCCTACTATAATCCAAATGGTAAATAATTTCCCAGAGAGAATAGTAACAGAAAAGTACACCACATTACACAGCTGTTAAGCACGTTGCTGAGAATAGGAATATCTGAGTTCTAATTCTGCTACTGTTTTGGTGCATTTCAACATTCCCCGTAAACTGTGCGCGCTTGTGTGGCGACTCAGGAGAGATTCGAATGTTAGCCAGCTGATTCGCAGAGCACCCAGAGCTAGGTGTTTTGTTTCTACTTGGGGTGCACATTCATACATGCCTTGGTGCACATAAAAATGTATTCTACACATGGATGGAAAAATCCACACATGGATGGAAAAGGTTAGAGGAAACATTGTGCATGACCTTTAGCAACTCACTCACTTGCCCTGGTCATCATTTTCCCATCAGCAAAATGGAGATTAAAACACACTTACCTTTGTAAGGCACCTCAGATGAAAGATGCTGTATAAGAATAAAGTATTGTTATCTTGTAGGGGTGCACAAAGGAAGTTGTATGAAATGAAATTGCTACAGTGTCTCAGTTGGACCAGAATGAGATGTCCAGACTACATCATCCTCACTGACAATTACAAGAAAAAAGAATCATCTAATTGGCCACTGCCCAGGGGGCAAAACCCACAAAATTACTTGATTATAACTAGGGATGTGAAAGTGTAAACATGTACACGGTTAACTAAGGAGCCTGTGCTCATCATGCATGGTTACACACAGACACTTCCTCTCCCCACTGCC